AGAATAATTTAAACCAGCACACAGCACACGAACTTAGCCCCTTAGGTAAGTCCGGAGGCACCAAGGAAATCTCCACCAAGATGTTCTCTAGACCATTGCCAGCTTGGTGTCTGATTGCACGTCCATGGGCACGTGGTGTGCAAGGCAGCAACTCGTTGGGATGTTTGGGAATGCGATCCTTCACAAAGACATGGTATCTTGCAAAAACACTTGGTACGTCAGAACTTCCCAGCAAAGTTCTGCCAAAGACGTTTGACCAGGTGACCTGCTGCTTTCCAGCAACTGGTACCTCTTGCCGCGGTCAGAGTCAGCACCGCATGAGACCGACAGCGCCTGGACAGACCGCAGTTCGACACCCCCCCCTGCTCGCAGTTTGACCGTCCACGTGTCCAGGTGTTCAGTGAAAAACCCGTGTTCTGTCGATCGGCCTTGAGAGCGGAATCTGCTTTTAAAACGAAGCCCCGAAAGCCCTTGCTTAGGGACTGCGGCAGCGCAAAGCTCCAAGCCCTGGCTTGAGAGAAAGCGCGCAAGCGCTTGAGCTCTGCCCCACGGAAAGAATCCAAAAACACTCCCTGGCATAGCTGCAGCAATGGACGGAGATTGGTTCACAAAAGCTGGAGATCCTTGTGGAATTACATCGTAGGCAAAGGGAGTATAGTCGTGGATTCCCACCCAGGAGAACAGCCACGACTTTCTATACAACTGCTTTCTGGCTATCTGTACATGTTCAAGTAGGTGAGATCACGGATGCCCTTGCATTGAAGGGACCATCTCTACACTCGGATTCACCGTGATTCACCGTGATTCACCACGCTACGGTTGCGTCCCCACCACGCCACGCCATGAGGACATCCTCCGCCTGGGATGCACTGGGTGGGAGATACGGTGAGGTCCCAAACACCATCCCCAAACCGACCCCGATGCCGGGCGGCTGAGGCCTTCACCGTCCACCAAAGGCTCAGAGTCCGGAAGAACCGAAGCTGGTCTCAGCTCAGGGCCCCTGAGTCGAAAGTCTTGATTGCTGGAGCTCAAGGTCCTGAGGTATTGGTTCCCTGGGAGTCAAAGACTATAAAAAGAATGGTCTGACTAGGGGAACTGAAAGGGAACATCCTTTACTTCAGCTGGTCAAAATATAGTCTTTGGACTTCTAGGGGGTTGGTTGGTTGGATTCCCCGGGTTTCGGTCCAGGAAAGACCAGTTGGAACAAACGGGTCTGACGATGACTCAGTAAAACCGAGTGAGTGAAAAGGAACTGACACTGAACACGACCGGGTGGTGCCGGAAATAATCGAACTGGACTTCGGATTCACTGAAGACTGAAGAACTATTCCCAGACATGACCAGCAGGACTGCCGATTCGGACTGCCTTCTTTCAAGGCCACGGGTGGTGCCAGGGGGCCAATGGGGCGGCATATATGCCAGTCCCATTAGTTGTGTCTGGGATATATTGTGTGTTGACTGAATATCGTTTTGGAGAGTCATGACCCTTGCAGGACCATGATTTTCTGGGACACCTTCGCAGGATCCTAGTAGTTTCCACAGTAATTGATTGGAGCGTATAGCTAGATCTTCCAAAAGTGCAAACATTCTGCCGAACTTCATCCATCATTCCAGCCAAGTTCGTCAAACATTTTGCATAGTTGGAAGATCTTACCCTGAGAATCCGGGCCCTCAAATACATAGAGTTTTGAGGGTCCAGACCCTTGCTATGGAGGGTCCGACCCCTCCCATGGAGAGCCCAAGGATTCTTAGGGTAGGTCTCTAGTCTTCATGTCCAGGAGCTCTTCATGCGGAGGCCGCAGCAGGAAGACCCAGCACTGCAGCAGGAAGACGCTGCCTGCAACGATGAAGAATCCTGACCGGTTTGTGATTCAAGCCGTTCCTAAGAGTATACCTTTCTCAGAAGGCCTTCCCCCAAAAGTACTACAAAGAGCACTGAGAAGCCTAGGCTTTGGTCCATTGGGAAAACCAAAACCACAGTCAGTGGGATCGTCCCGCTTCAACTACCCAGGTGGGAGGCTTCCACTATGTTCCAACCAAGCAATCTGACGAAACGATCTTCTTCCAACGCAACCATCATGGAGAGCTCTTCGAGCCACAGTTCCACCGCGCGTGGCGTTTCTGCATCCAATACCCCAAACACGACCTGTCTGGGACGGTGCTCTATAGCCGTCCCGGGCCGGTCCTTGGTTTCCCAAGACTTGTTTTGAGCTCCCTTTTTCCCTACCCCACCGGGTACTCGTCATTCCACCACTTGAGAAACGGGGTAGTCTATTGTGAGCCATTTTCCTGGACCGAACCAGTGTTGGGACTGAAGATCGACAGCAACTCGTTGGGACGTCCGAAGCAAGGGAGCTCGAGGTCTGATTCTTCGACAGAAAGATGGTGGGTCTCATCTTCATGCAACAAACATCTATCTCACCATCTTTGGGTGTATAATTCTTCCACTCAACCAGGGGTAGCAGTGAATGGTTCAGTTGCAGGAACAGGCCATGATGTTCTTGTGAACACCAGCGGCTCTACAGCGAACCGGAACTGCACTGCCCCCCGGTCAAGGCCGATCACGAACGCGGGGGAAAGACAACTGCCCCCCCCGGCCTCCCAGTGGATCCATTAGAATGTAGACTGTATAGACTCTTGATTAATAAGACCCCCATATGAAGAGGATTCCCAATTCAACTGGGTGGGTTTATTAAGCAAGAGTCTACAGGTCTACATTACAAGATATTACAAGGGAAGATGACTACCAGGATGACAAGTGGTTCAGTCTCCATCAGACTCCTCTTCATCTTCCCTTGTAGTCTGAACCAACCGACTTCTAGTCTGAACCATCCTTCTCCCAGCCGCTCCATGGGACTGCCAGTCCAGACTGCCGCCCCAGAAAGACCCCCCCTGGCACCACCCCTGGCCGTTTCTCGGCATATATTCCAGTCCCATGAAAAGAAAACCTGGGAAAGTGTAACATCCTTAAGTAAAACTACAAGAATGCCAGCCCATTGGGGTGGTCGTTCGTCCATGACATGTCTCCATCCCGTCCATCCTTCGTTCGTCTCCATCTTCGAACGGACCGCCCATGGACGACCCGCCATCCGCACGGAGGGCCTGGGTCGTGCGGCGGAGCCGGCCGACTCCGTGGTTTCCACCGTGGCGAACTCGGAGGCCACGAAGCTGGCCAAGCTGCCGGAGGCCTTGGGGAGAGGGGAGAGGCTTCTGTTGAAGGTTTAGAGGGATGGTCAGGGCTCACCGACCTTGAACAGCAACGTCAAGACGCTAGACTCTAGACACCTCTTGTTTCGTCAAGCCATCGCTGTTTCGTCTTCTGCTGTTACACGAATTGTCCTTTTGTATCCTGCCATGTCTGCTGACTGATGCTTAGTAGGGAATAAGGGAAGTTTCGCCCCAATAGAGATTCCTTTGGATCCAGCCACCCTCAGCCACCCTGCTAAGCACCCGTCGCACCAGTCAGTCTGAGACATCTCTTCCCCCCGACATCATCTCCAAGTCGCTGCCAACACACTGGACAGCGAGGCCACCCTTGGGTCGACGATGGGCAGCGCTGCCGGGCGCGCTGCCCTTGGCCATGATCGTGACGGCCAGCATCAGCCCAGCGCCCAGCAGGGTTACCTGGGTTCGGTGGGGCCAGCATCTTCAACCCAGCCTGGCCCTTCAAGGCAACTGCGACTGCAACTGCGGTAGAAACAGTGGCAGTGCCTATGCATGACCTTAGCCAGCTAGTTTTGATCCTTCGCCTTCAGATTGGCCATATTTGTGGATGTTGTTTTGGTTGCTGTGCTTTTGGGGGGGTCGGATTCACATGACCCAAACTCTGTGCACAGATTTCATCACATGTTCTTAGAACAGGGAATTGTCTTAAGACCATCGAATTGCTTTGGGTGGTAGTGGTTCTCTTCTTCAACCCAGTGGATCCCGGGCAAACCACGAGTACTAAGGAACCAGGGGCCTTCGTTCAGTCTATGGTTTGAGTCGAACTGGAACCACTGGTTACCTTCCAGCGAGCTCTCGTGGGAACTGCCTGCCTGGATCCCCTGGACAAGGGAAGCAACCATTCCCCTAGACTTCCGTTCGACCATTAAAACAATGGTTCACCTAGTTTTTGTAGTGTAAAACCCTTAGTTGATTCAGGATTCAGCCTATTAAATTAATGGTGGGCCAGGAAGCCTAGGGATTCCTCATCAATCCACCGGTTCCTCAGGTCCCTTCACCCACGGCACCGCAGGACCTCCCAGGTGCTGCTACCTTCACGCCCTCATCATTTTCTGATCGGCACAACACGCTGGAGTCCAAGCACGGTAGGGGGGGGAGATGCAGTTTTCTCCGGTGCTCCCGAGAAACCTCCGAAAAACACGAAGAGAAAACTCCCGAAGACATCAAAAGATCATCAAACCTTTACCCCAAAACTCGATCCTCTGGCCTTTCGGCCTTTACCTGGATCTTCCAACGTAGCGTTCATCAGGTCCGCCGAACTTCATCCACACTACGTGGCGCCATGTTCAGTAACCCTAGGCCTCCAAGTACCTTCTGAGAAGGTGTTTGGGGTGGGTGCCAGGAGGGTTCAAATACCTTCTGAGGAGGTACGACTGGAGGTGTAGGGTAAAGAGTTTGCATCGTTGGAAGATCCAGGTAAAGAAAGGTGCTCCCAGGCGCCTTGTGGTCCAACTGGGGCTTCTATCACCCACCCCTCGGTGGGCGGCAACTAGCTGCTCCAGGTCCATCCCTCAGCGATCCTAGGTGTGAGACAAGGCACCCACAGCAGTACGTTCAGAGGAAACCCGTGTTTCCCAAACGCAGGCCACGTCTGCCTTTGAACCTGATCCCTACCCTACGAGGTCAGGGTTCCGGACCCTCATGGAGGTCCACGTTGATCCATACGAACCCCCAAGTCACGACGCACATCGAGCGGCAGGGACGAGCCGCTGGACGAGCCATCACTCCCGCACACCCAAGTCACGGTCTCAGGCGTCTTGCGAAACACGAAGATGTCAAGCAAATACCTGAAAGCACCAGAATGATCCACAGGTAGATGTGAAGACGACAGCTATAGATGCTTGACCATTTTCGAGCAGTGCTCACTGCTCACAGCCCAGAGAAACGAAGATTTTGTGCACGTGCTGGGCTGCAAATGGAGAGCACACAAGAAACCTGTAATAGAACCTGTAATGAGGTTCACGTGCAGGCTGGTACCCTTGGTCTGGGGAATCTTGGTCGTGCACAAACAGACATACTTCGTGGATGCCAAACAAAGTGCTGTCAAAACAACCCCTCTCACAATTGTTGGCTGCCATGATCTCAGCATATCCACTGAAAACATACTGACTCGACTCAGGGGTCGTTCGGTCGTCTTTCGAGAACGCCATGCCGAGGGTGCCCACACACCATGCTCGAGGCGGTGCACACCTTGGATTTGCCGTCCAGGAACCACCGGATTTACGAAAAAGAACAAAAACATGAATTCCTGAAGCATCCTTTGTAGCACTTATTTCTGGCAACCATGGTTTGGAGCACTTATTGGAAGTTTGAGCGTTAATTGAGGATATGTACACTTTTCAGGACATATGAGCGCTTTTTGGTGATGTAAATTCTAAAGCCTACTGGTTCCTGACCAGTGTCCTTATCAACCCTTGTGGGCCTTTGGGGGCCCTATGGACCGGGTGGAAATCCTGTATGACCTCCTACTAGTAGTATGTGCAAATGAAACCACAAAGGTTTGGTTCCAACCTTCTGGGCATGCTTTACAACAATTTTTCCAAAAAGGGTGCCCACAACTTGGATGCATGATGACATGATGATGCATGTAAACAGTAAACTGATCCCATCAATGCGGTACTTAGATGCTGTTAAGAGGGCTGCTCCCATAACTGTGCCATATATATCGCTAGACTTCCAAAGCATCCTCTCATCCTCACAGTCCACCACCACCTCACAGGGACAACCCGAACGACCCGATTCTCAGCACCGACATCTGCGAGCGGCCCACTGAACCCACCTGCGCACCCGCCAGGACAGCGCAATTGCTCAGCGCGTTCTTGGAGCACCCGAAGAGGCCACGCAAAAGCACCTTTCCATCATTCGTCGTTTCGCGTCGTTTCTTCGTCTTTGGATTTGTGGTCAACCACTTCAGTTCTCCGTGAGGTCATGCTGATCGGAGAACAGGAGAACATCACCCTGGTTTCCAGGTTGTGGCAACGGTCTCCCCGGTCTCCCAGTTCTTCGGAGTCACGCCGGGGTTCGCGATCACACTGTGTGGAGAAGGACCGGATTTGGGTCGTACCAGAGGTGGAACGTGACCCCAATAGGACCTTACTGGGGTACCGAACTGGGATAGGCTAGTTCGGGTCCTTCAACCTCTGTTGGTACCATCTCAGGTACGGTGAGACATGAGACGGTGCCAGCGTCGTCCAGTCGTACCGAAGCTGAGGTTCGGTACGAAAACGGATCCCAGGCCCTATTCTCAGCTTTACCCTAGAAGTCCAAAGCCTATATTTTGACTGGCTGGAGTAAAGGAAGTTCCCTTTCAGTTCCCCTAAAGACCATTCCTTTTATAGTCTTTGACTCCCAGGGTTTAGTTGGAACTTTTGGACCAGGGAACTGAGCTAACGAACTGAGCTAACTCGTGTGTCGAACTTGGCTTCAGGATTGGAGACCTGGCGAACCCGTCTCCCGTCACAAAGGATGAACAAGAACTCAGTGTGTGTCCTACATCACCCTGCAGAAAGCCTTATAGGAGGAGCGGTTCAGCTGCTCCAAAAAACTCCTAAACAAATAGCCTGCAAGTCAAAGTATATACAAAGAATGGTCTGACTAGGGGATCGGAAAGGCACTTTCCTTTACTTCACTAAGGGAAAGTACAGTCTTTGGACTTCCAGGGAATACAGAACGCCAATCAAAGCACCACTCCCTTTTTCGAAAACGTCTCCCACCTATCCCGCCCAGACAGCCCTCGACCCAAACATCGACGAGGCGAGTCGACATCAAACATGTCTCGCAGGGAGGGCGCCCATTTCACTTCGCGCCGTGGCAGTTCCAGCGCTTCTCGCCAGGCTAAGAGGACCAAGGGGAGGTTGATCAAAAGCGCCTCGGGTCCCAGCTTGGAAGCGCTTGACAAAAAGAACTTCACTTCACGTCCATCTTCCACCCATGTACTAAAAGCAAAACAACCTGCTCCATGATGCTCCGCAGTGCTCCCAATTCAGACCATCTCAGGGTCTCGACCTGGTTCCAAGGGGTCGATATCGACATCTGGAGCTACGCAGCTACTCCGTATGCAGACACGACCAGCACATGGGACTGCCGATTCGGACTGCCTTCATTTCACGGCCCGGCCAGGGGTGGTGTGGTTGACTGGCGGGGTCAGACTCTGGGGCGGCAGAACGGACTGGCAGTCCCGTCTACAGGTCGTGTTCTGGGTTAAGAAACCCATCGAAGTGTCGTCTGCTCTACCGTGGAACCAACGGCACCAGGAAGACGGGCCCGCACCAGAGGGAGCTGGGAGCTTGGATGAACCGGGCATAAATAAAGAACAGAAAGAACAATAAGACAATGCCCAGACACGACCCGTCTGGGACTGCCATAGGACTGCCGCCCCATTGACCTCCCTGGCACCACCCCAATGTAAGCATGTATGGCATACATGCAGTGTCTGGAATGATGTACGGTATTTATGAACTTGTTGTTTTACACGTTTACCAGTTTTTGAGGGAAAAACACAGCACCCTGAGCAAAACCAAGCTGAAGACTAGGCTGCCGCCCTGCAACAATGTGGGGCGACATTGTTTAAAGGGGAGTATTCCCTGATTGTCTACAAGACAACATTAACCAACCAACTTCATGCTGCTAAAGAAAAAGGATTATTTCCTGCTAGTGGACTGAGTTTAAACAGATTCTCTTCAAAGAACTCTCGTATACTCTCGTCATGTTGCATGCTTTTATATAAGCAACCAATCATTCATGTCTTCAAAATCCGCAATCCCAGATAATGCCACTTCCCAAAATTACGTGGAATAACGCCACCTCTCCTCTTCATGCCCAAGTAGCAGCTCCTCCGGCCAGGAGGAAGTAGGGCCAATCCCACCCTCGCATCCTGAGAGGCTCTGGGGCGACCGGACGGTCACTGGTGGCGATCGAAAGAGAGAACTACCAAGGAGAGGTTTTGAGAGACCGCTTCACGTTCAGACCCTGGGATCCTCTCTGGTATACACTATGGGATGGGCGACCTAAACACGGCTGTTCGTCACCTCTCTTGGTACAAGGAGCTGACGTCCGGTTTGGTACCAGGAGCATCCTGTTTGGGTGTTGGATGATCGAAAGACCCCACAACCGGCGCCCGTTCCCCGTTCGGACCCGAAAGCACACCCGTTCTGTCCCCAGTGTGTGCTTCGGGTCCCAGTCAAACACCACGTCGGTTGCTGGTCCAAGCCCAGGAACCAGAGGTGGTTTTCGTGACCAGGTCACGTTTGGACCCGGAACTACCTGGGGTACCGAACGTTCGGATAGTCTAGTTCGGGTTCTGACCCACCTCTGCTGGCAGCCATACCATGCCTAGGAGGCTCAGGATGCTTCATGTTACCGACCCACAGGGGTGTCCGACCGAAACCGGACGGTCCTGCATTGGTGATCCACCGGACGTCGCGTGAATCTATCCTTCGAAAACACTGGGTGGATCCCAAATACTTCAGTGGCCTCCATGTCCAAACAACATGTGGCACTGGGGTGAAACGATTTTGGATCCTGAAGAGGAGACGAAGGAGAGCACAAAGGATAGACACCTCCAAGGGAAAATAGCTGAACATGTCTCATGCGTTGTCCTCTCTCCCTTGCAGTCTGTCTGTTAACAAACAGGTATACCAAATGATCACCACTGAGTGTTTCAGTTGCAACTTGGCATCATCTTGCTGATCATCAGGTTCACCGCCCCGAAGGCCGTGGCCAAAATAGCAGCGAGAACGCCATGCAAATGAGAGCCCATCGTGCGGATTGCGAGTGCACTAAGTGTCTGTGAAGGATTCTTTCCTTGGGCCAAAACAGCTAGACAAGGATGAACGCGATGAGGAAGACAGTGAACATGAACATCAAATATAGGCATATATAGGAGACAAACAAGACAGACCATCCCTGAATATATCCCATAAGAACATGGGTCTGTCTCACCCATAGGTCTCACTGTCTCACCCACAAAACCCGTGGTCTCACGACTGGATGAGGATGAGGATGATGTTGCCGTTCATCGGAGCCGTTCATCGGACAGCCGGTTTTCAAAGCACACTGTGTGCCAGGAGGGATGTGAGCCAGGAGTACGCTCTTTTTGGGGTTGAGTCACTGAGGAGCCCGCTTTTGCAAGGAAGATTGAATCGAAGAACACATCAACCCATTCTGCATCCATTCTGCTGCTGAAGGCAAAGAAGGTGAACCACTTTCTTTAAACCAACATGACGAATCCATTTGCTGCTGTCTCCACAGGCCACGCACATAGCATTGCGCGTAGCATTGGCGTGCAAAAACACGACTCGACGGACCAAGCGGACTTCTGGGTCAAAGAGGTCAGAAAGGGTCAGACCGTTCAAACATGGTCAGCGGCACGAAAAGGTGTCCCATGATCGACGTGTTATGACGTGTCCCATGACGTGTTCCACAGACCAATTGACCTGGAGGCGTTTTGCTCGAGAACATCAGGTGATTTGATACCATGTGGGGCCCCTGGAAGGGTCGGGAAGACAACTTAATTCTGTCTTTTTCTTCTCCCTGGAAGTCAAGTCGACCATTTTTCAGATGGGAACGATTTGGTTTTGTCGTGCCTGGAACCCCAAACAACCAGAAACAAATGGTTGTTCCAATATGGCAATCCTTTACATAGGAAATGGTTGGGACTGGGGAAACATCAATTTCTTTCTGGTTGTTTGGGGCTCCAGGTGTAAACCGCTAATTAGTAAGAACAATGGTGGTTCGCCCATTTGGGTCCAACCTCTTCACCTCGGGCCCACCGTCGAGCTCCGAGCTCCGCCCGAGTGGCTAGCGCATTCGTGCGGAGCGCGCCCGAGTGGCTCCATCGCCCAATAGAACGAAGTCAACCTACAGGGTCTCTGACAGAAGATGGACCCTTCCAAGCCAAATGACGAAGCAGCCTGGGATCCAGCGTGGTTTTTCGGTGGCTTTGGGGCGAAAACTGCGAGCTTTTGGACAGACCATGTGCACACTCTCCCACCACCCAAAACCCTCTCAAAAGGGTCTTCCCGAGGACCGGATCCCAATCCCCCCCGACCGGCTCCGGCGCCTCTTGGATCGAAAGGACCTCTTCTCGTCGCAAGAGCGCCTGCGCCGGGACGAGCGCCGTTGTTGCGCCGTTGTTTCGGTCGAGGTTGCCCGGTTCGGTCGAAGAAACGCCGGCTTTGGGCTGGTCCGGTGGTGAACAAGCCCGGTGGTGAAAGAATTGGAGGACATGGAAGAAGGACTGGAGAAGGACTCCGAATGGCAGATTGACCATTGGCATGCTATCTTTCGTGTGTTGAATGCAAGGAGCAAGTAATTAGAACCAAAAACTCCGCTTTCGAACAGCTTCACTTTTCGCGCCACGTCATCGTGCCGGAGTTGCTTCAATGAACGGGGAACAAAAACATACAAAAACCATCACCCCAACACCAGGATACCCAGCACCTTTTTGGGGCTAACGACATTATGTCGCCTGCTCCGCACCTGTGGCGGATAGCAGCTCACAGTCCGGCACCATCGCCGGGTCACAGAGTCCGGGATGGCCAAGTTCGGAGCTGCGCAGTCCCCGATGTGGTCAAAGCTCTGCGCCTAACAGCCATTGCACCAACCCTGCCCTTTCGCACCCCAGCTGCTCCTCGTCTGCCGACCAGGTCGCTTGTACGGGGCCTAGCAGGCCTGGCGCCGTGGACAAACCCAGCCTTTCAGAAACCAACTGTATTGGCATTCATGACAGCGACATTCTTTTGCGATGATATTTTTGCACCCCTGTAGCTTGTTCGCATCTCGAAGTTGTTCCCAGAGATGGACACTGTCAACAGCAAAGATCGGCAGCCATCAAAGGCATGATCTCCGATGTGTGTCACTGAGTCAGGGATGGTCAAGCTTGCCAAAGAGCTGCAAAATTGAAAGGCACCATCCCCAATGCGAGTCACAGAGTCTGGGATGGTTAATTTGGCCAAGGAATGGCAGTCATAAAAGGCACCATTCCCAATGTGGGTCACGGAGTCCGGAAAGGTCAAGCTCACCAAAGAGCCACAACCCTGAAAGGCGCCCTCTTCAATGTGGGTCACTGAGTTGGGGATGGTCAAGTTCACCAAAGACTCGCACCCATCAAAGGCATAATCCCCGATGTGGGACATTGAGTTCGGGATGGTCAAGTCTGTCAAAGAGTGGCAACCCGCAAAGGCACCATCCCCAATGTGGATCACTGAGTTCGGGATGGTCAAGTTCACCAAACGGCAGCGAGCTAAGGCACATTTGCCGATGCGAGTCACAGAGTCCGGAATGGTGACTTTGGCCAACGTTCGGCAACCTTCAAAAGCATTCTCAAGAATGTGCGGTTCATCGTGTGGAATTTCGACAACAAGCAGCAGTTCTGGGTCAACGATACCACCAAGACTGGCAATCGCATCTTTGTTGGAGGAGCAAATCACTTTGTTTGGTTTGAAGACAACACTCACAACAGTATCTTCAGCAATTCCAGCTTCCAATACCTTTGCATCGTTGGCCAGCAAGTGATTGTCTCCAACAATGATCTCCACACTCGTAGTGCTCCGAGTGAGCTCGTCCCAGGGCTGTCCTTGCTTGATTTGCTGCTTGAGCTCCTCGCCTGTTGTCTCAGGCGTGACTTCGAGAACCATGACTTCACCACTCGGCTTCTGTGCTGAAATTCTCTTCGCCATGGCTCACATGACCTATATGATCTATATATGGATTTGGATTTGAGCTGATTGCTTCTTCACTAGCCTTGAGTTGAGCGTATCGATCATGGAATGTCATGGGTACCCTAGACTTCCGTTCGACCATTTAAAAAAAATGGGAACGACCTGGTTTTTGTAGTGTAAAATCCTGCACGTTGATTCCATAAAGCCTATTAAATTGGTTGGCCAGGAAGCCTATAGGGGGTACCTTGAGTTGTCTGAACGAACCGTCCGACGTGACATCGACATCGACACGGGACACCGAGCTCAGGGACCGGTGTCACGTGTGAGAAAGGATGCCCCCTGGGCCTTCCAGTCGAGGTGTTGATCAACAGCCCCGTAAAGAGGTGATGACCGGGGTGCCCTTTCAACCACCGGACTTGGTGGAAGGTCCTGGTATGGGGTCTGAGGTTCTCACCAATCCCTATATACCTAGGATTCAAACAACCATTGTTTTAATGGTCTGAATCCCAAAGAACCAGCTGTTTTACTAAGGATTTTTACACTACACCACCAGCTCAACCGTTCTTTTAATGGTCGAACTGAAGCCTAGGGGATGGTGTCACGGGTCATTTCATACCCAGACGCTCCGTCGTTGAACGACGCCCTTTCCCGGTCCCGAACCAAACCCTAGGGCCCTAGGGATTGGTTCGGGTCCGGACCCCTCCAAAAGATTCAGGTACGGCCCCTACTGAACGCAGGGCCCATGAGCGTCTGGGTAGTTTGTTTTTCCCCCCCTTTATCACTGAAAAGAGACATGCTCAGCTTAATGAAGTCTTGGAAATCCCACCAGGTGCTGAAACCATGTGTGTCCCTTGACCTCCTCGAACATCACATCAAACGGCACCCAACCACTGCTCATCACCAAACCCACGCCGGTCTCTCGCCGAACGCGCTTTTGTTTCGTCACTCTCCGACACGGAGAGCTTTGAAAGAGGGGCGAACCCCAAAAACTCCACACTGCACACACACACACACACACCTACCTACCTAGCACTTCCAACAGTAGGGTAGGATATAGTGTATTGGACACCCATTGGATGATCCTGGCACACACACACACAACGGCCAACAAACACACCTGGGAAACCGCATTTCACACACACCAGACGCGCGTGTGGAAGCGCTCTGACTCAGACGTCTGTGAAAGCGTCCCGTTCCCGGTTCCTCCAGCTTC